AGCATTAGAGCTCCATGTGAAAGTGTTCACCCAGAATAGTATTGCCACCTTACCTATTTCTGCCGGCAAGCATTAATGTTAGCATTACTGCGTTCCGGTTTTGAAGGGCAAGGGTGCTGGTGAAATTACAGGCACGTGGGACATGTGGACTTATGTTTCAGGGTGACTGGTGCAGTGGCAATATCCTTCAGATCTCTAAGTGACACAGCAACTGTTATGGACGGGCGTGTAGCTTACCATCAGGTGCACGACTTGTGCGTCCCGTCACTTGATATTGTGTGGAAAGAGAGCGCAGGGCGTTGGCAGTGAGGAGTAATGCTGACTCGTAGATTTGCTCGATACACGGAAAGTGTAAAAATAACAGTAACTCCAACAGTCTGTGGTACAACGCCCTGCTTATATATTTCATCAATGCGTTCAGAGGCGCGCACTGATGGCTTCTCGGCTTTAGTGCGAAAGAAGGGCGCTTCTTTTCTTCACCGCGTACGGGGTAGCCGGAGATAACACTCGTGAACCAGTTCGGTAGTCCCTTGCTATGGCATCTAATACAAAGTGTCGTAGGTGTAATTTAAATCAAGTAATTGCATATCATGTGATGTAATTTTAAATGTACTGTAATTTAAATAAGTATCTACTAACATAGTCGCTAATAAGTTATATTAACAAATTATGGAAACTTTCTGAGATTAAGTATTATTGTTATTATAGACAAAATAATCTCAATACAGAGTACTAAAAAAACTGACCTCAAAAGTACGTGGAATTACATCTATTTACCAAGTTTTATTGAAATATCTCCTAGTTCGCCACTATACAGGACTTCACACTGGAGATAATAAAAATCGGTTCTCACTACTCAAAGTATATTGTGAGAAAAACGCCTTGAATTGGAGAATAGCAAAACCAACCATTAAAATAATTGCTCCTTAACTAAAATTTAGGCGCTATTTATAAAAATGAATGTTCATGCGTGATCAGCCACCCTTTGAGGTAGATAATTTTCTTCAAAATTAAATGGAACCACTATGGAGGTATCCTGTTTCCATCAATAAAGGAATCAGGAAAATCGGTTCACAAATACCGGAGTTATCGCGTAACATACACACAAAAATAACATACAATCGAATTGAGAACCTCCTCCTTTTTTTGGAGTAGGTTAATAAAAGCAAATTAAATATTATTTGTCCATTTGTTGGGTAAGCGATTCAAAACACGTATTTCACTATGTTATTCTAAATACAAATCAAAAATGCAAACACAAATAGCAATACTGAGCGTTGTTCGTGAACTCTATAACACAATTGAAGCTATTGGATCAGTTTCATCTCCGTGTATGTATTATGGAGGGGCTGTTTAAATGGGCTTTGTCCATGTTTGCCACTGCCCACTTCCCGACCCAAAGGGAATGCCTGATAAGAAACGTAATAAACCATCATTTGGTCAGTACTTTGCACGCTGCGATAAACATACATTTACAGGTATTTTAACGTTATAGCGTAAACAGATATTTTAACATTATAGTATAAACAAATATTTTAACATTATAGTGTAAACAGATATTTTAACATTATAGTGTAAACAGATATTTTAACGTTGTAGTGTAAATTGTCTGTAATGTGAGTGCCAGTATGAAAGCCATTGTAACAAGAATCTGACCAACCGCCTATCCATGGAGTCATGCAGAGGGCATCGGATGGAATCTGGGCTTGCACCTTTGCGTTTTTCGGAATTTTAGCAATTTTTTAGGAAATTTAGCATGAGCTTTTCGGTGAAGAAAAACTTCGCGAGGAAACGCATACATCAAAGCAATTTAATTATGTGTGTGAAGTTCCCAATCTACTGCCTGTTCCCACTAGTGGGATTATATATTGTATATATACTAGTATATATACGCCTATCCATAACAGTTACAGTGCCACAGAACTTACCTATTTCAGTCATGAAGCAGTAATGTGAGCATTACTGCGTTCCGGTTTCGAAGGATAAGGGTGCTGTTGAAATTACAGGCGCATGGGACTTACCAACTTATGTCTCAGGGTGACGTGGATAGTGGCAGTGCCCCTAAGATCTTTGCGATTAAAAAGGTAAGGTTTTTTTTTATAATATCAAGTGACGGGACGAACAGGTCGTTCGCCCGATGGTAAGCTACACGCCTGTCCATAACAGTTGCAGTGCCACTCAGAGCGCTAAATGGCAAAGATCTGCTGGGCACTGCCACTGCGCCCATAACCCTGAGACATAACTTGACAAGTTCCATGTGCCTGTTATTTCACCAGCACCCTTACCCTTCGAAACCGGAGCACAGTAATGCTGACATTACTGCTTGCCGGCAGAAATAGGTAAGGTGGCAGTTAAGTACTGCCACCTTCCGTGGCCGAACGGTTACCATGTCACGCAGAGGTCCCAGGTTCGATTCTCGGGCCGGGAGAAATACTTGTATGGCCTACATTTATTTCTCTCGTGAGTGTAATTCGTGGTTGTTTATGTGTGAGTCCATAACATCCGCGACACAGGGTTTCGCTAGTGCGGGGCTATGTTGAGTGTGTGCGTTATTGATTTTTATTATTTTATTTATTCCCTGGATGACAAATCGGTAAAAGAAATATGCTTTATACTTAATTTATTTTTCAAAACTGGTTTATAGAGTATTCACAAATGTAATCTACCTACTGCAATCCCTTCAACGGGTTTATTCCGTAGGTGGTTTTAATGGCCTTCTTAGCTTAAAAATTTTCAATTACAACTTAAATTTACCGTTTGTTATAAAATGTTTTTAAAATGTGTTTGCATTTTTTGCGAAAATATTACTATGTTCCACGAACACAGTTTTACTAGTTTTGTAGAGTGTAAATTAAACAGAAACTTAGAGAGCTACAAATTAAACGGATTTACTGCCATAGAGAGAATACACATATCACCAAAAACGGCAAAAAGGCTTGGACAGTTTCAGCCGGAATGACAAATTTAAAAAGCCCTCACAAAATTCACTGAATACTACCGATAGGCGGAGTGTACCCAATTATCAATTCACAAAATCCGAACCTCCCTATCCCCCTCGTGCCACCCCTCCGACTTCGAAACATTAAATACAATATCTTTAAATTGCTACTAAGTACACCCACCCTCATTGAAGATTTTTATCGTCATTACCATAATCTGTCGACTGTCTCCCTTTCGTCCGAGTGGCGATTAATTCCTTTCTCTTTCCATCAACGCCCCTCGGATATTTAAGACTCATTCTCTCATGATTTAGGTAAGATTGTTGGAAACTCTTAGGTACTTCGGATGCGATTACGTCCCTGTAATTGCGGGGAATGGGTGTTGCCGAGTGCTTTCACAATTTTTCTCTAAACTTGGCACTCCGTGGGAATACAGGCAGGTGGGGCATTTTCTTGTTGCCTGTAATTGCGTATTACGTAAAATACTACATTAAAATACCTCTTTTCGTTTAGGAACTGAAGTATACATTACTTTAATTATTTATACTGTGAATAAGGCGTTACTGCAGATGATGAGGACTAGAAAACTTCCACTTGCTCAGGCGATAATATAAAAATAACACCTACATGACCAACAAGAAGTAAACATCTTTTGTATACAAATTGTGAGGTAGTTTTGATGTCAACGATATTTGAATAATAATAAGGATACTTTACTACAATCAACAGCGAGCAAAACTTCTAGTGCAACCATAATATCCTGAAACGTAAATCACCCAGCGGGGCGTAACTACGTTGCGGTTAGCGTGACATGTCTATAACTACATAGTCTAACAACTTCAATATAGAAGGTAGGTACATATAACTGACTATTACCTCCCCCAACGACCCACACAAACCCATAAAACTAATTCTCGTCGACGCCACTCAAAATTATCCTAAAACAAACGTGGAGCAAAGTTTTTAGCGGGCGGGAAGGGCTCGACGGACCCTTAGTCACGCCATTTAACGCAGGCAAAGGGCTGCGTATTAATTATTAAAGCGCAAAGATGTCACAGTCGGCTCTCGGCCGTGTTTTGCCGCTGTTTTAGGGCTCTACGGATTTGGGCGGCATTAGCGAGGCAGGTCCGGTATTACTAGCTGCCAGCTTTGTTGCGTAGTCGGAAAATCGAAAATTATACAGCTGTATTAGAGTGGTAGCGTAATATGGTAACGGACTTGTCCATTATCCATGAATCGCGTTTTTATTACTCGGTTTACGTAAATTACATAAGTCTGGCGTGCCTGCATACCTAGAGACGCGTTATATGAAATCGTATATCGATTAATGCGTTAATTGTTATGGCATTTTATTGAAGATCATTTTAGTACTTTGTAATTTCGCAACCGTAGGTTAAATTCAGTACAAGACGATAAACAAAAAGTCCTACACTTTTATTAGCACTAACTAGACGTGGAAATAGACAACCGCCGCCGAACATCGTAGCAGACGTGCGCGCGGTATTACTAACATCCGATTAAAAAAAAAATGAGAGATATAGTTTTACGGCGTGGAAACAAGTTGTGGTAAATTTTATTAAACTAATAGCTATCATATATCTAATATGTACGCAATCGTTTCATAATTAAATATGTACGAGATTTTAAGACCTAATTATGTAATGATTTTGTACGAGTAAATTAAAATAATGAAACAACCAATATTTATATATTTTATTTATAAAAATGTACATGTAATTTTTTTTGTCAAATGGTTACGCCTTTGTGCCTATTACGTAAAATTTTGGGATATTATCTAATAAAATAATTGGAATTTTAATAATTTAACAAATATAGTGACGTTACTCTGTTCAGAAACACAAAGGAGTCTCTTTTAATTATAAAAAATACAACGCTCTGTGTACAGAACTATAACGGAATTTTCCAATTCAGTAGCGAGTACCATAATTGTGCCAGGTTTCTGTCACTCGCTCAAAATTACGTGACAAGTGCCCATCGCTGTGTGCGCCGACGTCGGCGCAAGGGCTCACACAAGTCTATCATTTATGAGCATTCGGCTCCTCATGACTGCACCCGGAGGGCAACGTTATTTTCACCTCTCTCAGCGCGTGTTAAGGTTACTTTTTCCTCGTACTGAAGGCCTGGTGTCATTAGTCAGATTTAGTAGGCTATTATAGCGTAGTATTTTCGATTTTGTTTGAGAGTGATATATCTGCTACGTAGTAATTATTAAGTGTCTATGATGAAACCGAGTGACGGGACGAAGAAGTAGTTCGCCCGGTCTTAGGTGACATCGACCAGTCGACAGCAGCTGCAATGCCACTTATATCTTTAAATTGCAAACATCTGATGGACACCACCACTGCGCCTGTCACCTTGAGATATAAATTGACAAGTGTCATGTGCTAGTAATTTACATATAACTGCCTCTGTGGCCTCAAGATAAAACTAAAACGTTGTACGAGGAGGCCTGTTCCACTAGTGGGATTATGTATTGTATATATACTAGTATAACACATAACAGTTACAGTGCCATTTAGAGCTTACCTATTTCAGTCATGAAGCAGTAATGTGAGCATTACTGCGTTCCGGTTTCGAAGGGTAAGGGTGCTGTTGAAATTACAGGCACGTGGGACTTATCAACTTATGTCTCAGGGTGACGTGGATAGTGGCAGTGCCTCTAAGATCTTTGCGATTAAAAAGGTTTTTTTTATAATATCAACGTGACGTGACGGGACGAACAGGTCGTTCGCCCGATGGTAAGCTACACGCCTGTCCACAACAGTTGCAGTGCCACTCAGAGCGCTAAATGGCAAAGATCTGCTGG